TTTGGGGTTTTTTCTGGGATTTGGGGTGGTTTTGTGGGATTTGACTTTTTTTAAAGTGAGATTTGGGGTGTTTTTTGTAAGATTTCGGAGTTTTTGGGTTTTGTAAGACGGTTTTGTAGGATTTCGGGGGGTCCTGACCCCGTTTTTGGCCCCCCCAGACCACCCTGGGCCCCCTGTTCCGCAATTCCCGCATGGTTCAGTTCCATTTCACCAACAAGGACCTGGAGTCGCTCAAGGGGCTCTACAGGATCATGGGCAACGGCTTCGTAAGCACCCCCAAATCTGGGGACCCCAAAACCGCCCGGGGGACCCCAAAATCAGCTGGAGAGACCCCAGAACATCCTCAGGGACCCCAAAATCATCCCTAGGGACACCAAAACCACCTGGAGAGATCACAAAATCACCCTCAGGATCCCCAAAATCATCCTCAGGGACCCCAAAATCACCCTGGGGATCCTAAAATCATCCCTAGGGACCCCAAAACCACCTGGAGAGATCACAAAATCACCCTCAGGATCCCCAAAATCATCCTCAGGGACCCCAAAATCACCCTGGGGATCCTAAAATCATCCCTAGGGACCCCAAAACCACCTGGAGAGATCACAAAATCACCCTCAGGATCCCCAAAATCATCCTCAGGGACCCCAAAATCACCCTGGGGATCCTAAAATCATCCCTGGGGATCCTAAAATCATCCCTAGGAACACCAAAATCATCCCTGGGGACCCCAAAATCATCCCTAGGGACACCAAAATCATCCCTAGGGACACCAAAACCACCTGGAGAGATCACAAAATCACCCTCAGGATCCCCAAAATCATCCTCAGGGACCCCAAAATCATCCCCAGGGACCCCAGAATCATCCCTGGGGATCCCAAAATCATCCCTGGGGACCCCAAAATCATCCCTAGGGACCCCAAAATCATCCCTGGGGACCCCAAAATCATCCCTAGGGACCCCAAAATCCCTGGGGGACCCCAAAATCAGCTGGAGAGACCCCAAAACCACCTGGAGAGATCACAAAATCACCCTCAGGATCCCCAAAATCACCCTGGGGGACCCCAAAACATCCTCAGGATCCCCAAAATCACCCTGGGGGACCCCAAAACATCCTCAGGATCCCCAAAATCACCCTGGGGGACCCCAAAACATCCTCAGGATCCCCAAAATCACCCGGAGAGACCCCAAAACATCCTCAGGGACATCAAAATCACCCTCAGGGATTTTGTCATATTTGCGGTTATTTGGGGGGGATTTGGGGGTTTTTTTGTGGGTTTTGGGGGCTTTTTTTTGTGACATTTGGGGTGGTTTTGGTGCCATTCTTGGGCCATTTTTGTACCCATTCTGGTGCCATTTTGGTGCCAATTTTTGCCCAATTTGGCACCATTCTGGTGCCATTTTTGGGCCATTCTGGCACCATTTTGATGCTTTTTTGGCACCATTTTCATTCCATTTTTTCACCATTTTATGCCATTTTGGTGCCATTTTATGACAGTTTGGGTCATTTTGGTGCCATTTTTGCACCATTTTGGTGCCATTTTTTGGCCATTTTGGCGCCATTTTTTGGCCATTTTGGCGCCATTTTTTGGCCATTTTGGTGCCATTTTTTGGCCATTTTGGTGCCATTTTTTGGCCATTTTGACGCCATTTTGGCGCCATTTTTTGGCCATTTTGGTGCCATTTTTTGACATTTCGGTGCCGTTCCCTGATCCAGGCAGGCTGCGTGCACTTCCCACACACGGCCCCGTGCGAGGTGCGGGTTTTGATGCTGCTCTACTCGTCCAAAAAGAAAATTTTCATGGGCTTGATCCCGAACGACCAGAGCGGCTTCGTCAACGGCATCCGCCAGGTCATCACCAACCACAAGCAAGTGCAGCAGCACAAGATGGACCAGCAGCGTGGGGTGAGGTCCAAAAACACCCCAAAATACCCCAAAAACACCCCAAAACACCCCAAAAACACCTCCAAAACACTCCCAAATCCTCCAGAGCTCATCCGTTCCTTCCAGATCCATTTTTGGTGGAATCTTCCCCTTTTAACGCCCCCAAACCCCATTTTTCCTCCTTTAACTCCTCCCAAAATCTCATTTTCTCTCATTTTCCTCCATTTTTCCCATTTTTAACCCCATTTTCCCCTCAGATCAAGGAAGAGGACCTGGGCTTCAGCCTAGGCCACCTGGGACCCCTAAACCCCATTTTCCCCCTTTAATCCTATTTTAATCCCCCCAAATCCCATTCTTTTACCAGTTTTTATCCTTTTTTCCCATTTTTTCTCATTTTTAATCCCATTTTCCCCTCAGATCAAGGACGAGGCCTACCAGGAGGACCTGGGCTTTGGCCTAGGCCACCTTGGACTCCTAAACCCCATGTTTCCCACCTTTAACCCTAATTTTTCTCATTAAACCCCATTTTAACACTGCTAAATCCCATTTTTTACCTATTTTTACCCATCTTAATCTATTTTACCCATTTTTGACCCCATTTTCTCCTCAGATCAAGGACGAGGCCTACCAGGAGGACCTGGGCCTCCTGGCACCCCTAAACCCCATTTTTCCCACTTTAACCCCATTAAATCCCATTTTAATGGGATTTTTAACCCCACCAAATCCCATTTTTTACTCCTTTTTTCCCCCCTTTTAACCCTTTATGGCTCGATTCCCCCAAGTGCCTCCCAAACCCCATTTTGGGAGTGTCTTTGATGCTCCATTTTGTGGGGTTTTTCTCCCCCCCTCAACACCCCCATCCCTTTCTTGGGGGTCATTTCTGCCCCCCACTCTTTTTGGGGTCTCTCTGCTGTCCCCAAACACCCCAAATTTTCCTGTCCCCACAGCTGGGGGGCTCAGCCCCTGTTCCTGGGGCTCCCCCATTCCTGCCCAAGCAGCCGGGGACCCTCCCCGTGACCTCGGGGGTGCAGCCACAGGTAAGGGGGGATTTGGGCTGGTTTTTGTGGGATTTGAGGTGTTTTTTGTGGGATTTGGGCTGGTTTTTGTGGGATTTGAGGTGTTTTTTGTGGGATTTGGGCTGGTTTTTGTGGGATTTGAGGTGGTTTTTGTGGTGAAAAACCTTGGTTGGGTTTTTTTTGTGGGGAAAAAACCTTGGTTGGGTTTTTCGTGTCTTTTTGTTCCTACCTGTTTCTTGTCTTCTTTCTCCTCTTATGTTTCCAGCCTTGTTTCCTGTCCTTTTTTCCTCACATTTTCCGTTCTTTTTCTCCCCTCACATTTCCCGCCCTTTTCCCCCCTCACGTTTCTTGCCCTTTTTTCCCCTGACATTTTCCCCTCATGTTTTCTTCACGTTTCCCTTCTCTTTCCCCTCACATTTCCTGCCATTTCTCCCCTCACGTTTCCTTTTTCCCTCACGTTTCCCACCATTTTTTCCTTCACATTTCCCACCCTTTCCTCCCCTCACGTCTCCCACCCTTTTCTCCCCTCACATTTTCCCCTCATGTTTCCCTCCTCTTTCCCCTCACATTTCCTGCCATTTTCTCCCCTCATGTTTCTCCCCCTTTTCTCCCCTTATGTTTCCTTTTTCCCTCACGTTTCCCACCCTTTTCTCCCTCACATTTTCCGCCCTTTTCCCCCTTCATGTTTCCCTTTTCTCCCCTCACATTCCCCACTCTTATTCCCCTCACTTTTTGTCCCTACCTGTCTCCTGCCTTCCTTCTCCTGCCCTTTTTTCAGCTTTTTTTCCCCTTTTTTTCAGCTTTTTCTCCTCACATTAACCACCCTTTTTCTCCCCTCACGTTTCCCGCTCTTTTCCCCCTCACGTTTTCCCGCCCTTTTCTCCCCTCACGTTTCCCGCCCTTTTCTCCCCTCACATTTTCCTTTTTCCCCTCACATTTCCCGCCTCTTTCCCCTCACATTTTCCACCCTTTTTCCCCTCACATTTTCCTTCTTCCCCTCACGTTTTCCGCCCTTTTTCCCCTCACCCTTTTCTCCCTTCACGTTTCTTTTCTCCCTCGTGTTTCCCACCCTTTTCCCCTTTACATTTCCCATCCTTTTCCCCCCTCACCTTTCATGGCCTTTTCTCCCCTCATGTTTCCCTCTCTTTCCCCCTCACATTTCCCTCTCTTTTTCCCCTCACATTTCCCACCCTTTTCCCCTCACATTTTACCACCATTTCCCCCCATGTTTCTCCTGTTTTTCCCCCCAAATTCCTGCCATTTTCCCGTCACATTTCCTCCCTTTTTCCCCTCATGTTTCCCTTTTCCCTCACATTTCACATCCTTTCTCCCTTCACATTTCCCATCCTTTTCCCCCTCACATTTCCCACCCTTTTCCCCCTCACATTTCCACTGGAGATGGTTTTTATTGAATTTTGGGGTGGTTTTTGTGGAATTTGAGATGGATTTAGGCTTTGTGCCCCTCACCCAGGTGAGCCCAGGCCTGGCGCAGGTCGGGATCATGGAGGAGCAGCAGCGGCAGCAGAGCCTGGTCTGGGGGATTTGGGGGATTTTGGGGGGTTTTGGGGCATTTTAGGGGGTCCTAGAGGGGCTTAGGGGCCCCTGGATGGGTCGGGGGGTTGGCTTGGAGGAATTTTGGGGTGATTCCAGGGGGTCCTGTATCAGTTTTGGTGGGACCCTGGTTAGGTTTGCGTCTAAAAAATTTGAGGGGTGGGTGTGAGAATTTTTTGGGGGTTTCCTGAAGGAATTTGTTTTTTTTGGGGGGGGGACTCTATAAAAATTTGAACTAAAGATTTTGAGGGGGGGGTCTGGGACAGGGTTGGTGATTTTTGGGGTGCACCCCTGACCCCCCCTGTCCCCCCCCACAGCCCCAAGGTGGGGTCCCCCCCCGGCGCAGCCCCTGCACCA